CTATCCATAGCCATTGCAGTACAAGTTCAATTCCAGATGTGACCCACATGGTGTGGCAGACCTCTGCTGACCTGCCCACTGTTCCCCTCAGCAGTATACTTGTTCAGTTTGCCTGTTCTGCTCACCAGTCTGTCTCTGGTGTGTCCTCTCACATACCTCATCTCTTGTCTGTACCCCAGTTCTTATGTGCATAATAAATAAATCTTTAAAAAAAAAACACATTCTAGGGCCCTCCCTGGTGGCACAGCGAGTTAAAGCACAGCGCAAAGAAGCTTAAACCACTTCCGCATTAGTTCGATCCCCGCCTGCCCTGGAGGAGACCACATGGTGTGGCAGACCTCTCCTGACCCGCCCGCTGCTCCCCTCAGCAATGTACTTCGTCGATCTGCCTGTTCTGTAACCCACTCTGTCTCTGGTGAAGCCTCTCACCCTCCGCATCTCTGGTCTGTACCCCAGTTCTGTACGAATAAATAATCTTTTAAAAAAAAATTCTGGAAGTCAAGAGAATAGGGAGAGCAAAAACTGAAAACGAGGACCTTATTCTCAAGGTAGGTTTTTGGGCTGGGACCCTGAACATAGAAATAAGAGCAGTTATATAGATAAATATGAATGAATATTGCCTGCTTTAGGTATTACCTGTGGTGATAACTACTGTGGGCTTTCTAATGTATAGGTATGACTTACGGTAATAGCACATGATGAGAAGATACTAAATAAGACTAGTTTATTAAGCTCCTTGATTTTGTGGGAAGTGGTAAAAGTAGTAATTTATATGAGATTTTATGAATGAGTGTTAAATTATAAATTATAATTACTAGGATAATCAGATAATCACTAAAATGAGAGATTAAGAAAAAATATATACCTGACAAAGTAATGAGGGAGAAAAATGGGAAAATGAAAAAAAGTGCTGAAACCAAAAGAGCATAAGAACAGTCAGAAGCACTATTATATAGAAATATTTTTATAGGAACTGTATAGTGAACCATATGAAAAAGTGCCAACATTTAACCTACAATATTAGTAGTTTGATAACTTAGCAAATATAAATAGGTCAAATTAGTGAAAACCAAAGATTGTCAGAATGAGTTAAAAGAAAAATAACTAAATTCTTCATATAAATAATCACATTAAATTTATGCATACAGAAGACATAAAAGTAGAAGAATGGGAGAAACTCTACCATGCAAGCACTAACCTAACAAAATTGGTTTAGTTACTGTATATAAGCACAGTAGGCTTTAAGGCAAGAAGTGATATTAGAGATAGAGGGGTATTTCATTGATAAAAAGTTCATTTCACTAAGAAGAAAGAAGGAATGGCTCTCTTCTGTTCCATATACTAATATGGGAGTGAATTGACAGCTTTTTTAAACTTCCTATTCTTAAAACTTGATACAATTCTCTATTGATTTATGGTTCTTCAGCAGTTTTATAATTTTCTTTTTCTTTTTTAAAAGATTTACTTATTTGCAGATGGCCAATAGGCATATGAAACAATGTTCAACATTCCTTGTAATCAGGGAAATGTAAATCAAAACCACAATGAGAAGATACCACCTCACACCAGTGAGAATGACACATATCAAAAAAACTAACAACAGTAAATGTTGGTGAGGATGTGGTGAAAAAGGAGCTCCCTCACATTGCTGCGAGAGTGCAAACTGGTCCAACAACTACTGAAAGCTGTTTGGAGATTCCTCAGACTACAGAAAATGGAGCCACCATAAGACCCAGCGATTCTATTCCTAGGGACCTACCCAAAAAACAAAATTATTAATTCAAAAGGATACCTGTACCCCTCTGATTATTGCAGCAATATTTACAATAGGAAAAACCTGTAAACAACCCAAATGCCCAAAATTAGATGATTGGATCAAGAAAATGTGTTTTATGTACACAGTGGAATACTACTCATCAGTCAGAAATATAAATGCATGCCATTCGCAGCAACATGGATGGAGCTAGAAGGGATCAGGCTCAGTGAAATAAGCCAGAAGGAAAAAGAAAAATATCAAATGGTTTCACTTATAGGAGGAATACAAGAGAATCAAATAAGACATAGGGGAAAAATTGTATTGTTAACTACAATACAAAACACAACAGAACAAAACCAAACCGGATAATTATAAATGAACAATAGCTTATGGGGCTATCCTATAGGGGATACAGGGGAGGTGGGGAGAGAGGGTTTGGAAAGAGGGAGGAAGGCACTTGGGGGACTGTGGTGACGCGGGGGCAATTTAGGGGAGGGAGAAAGCAAATACTGTCTTAAAATGAACAACAGTGTAAATAGATATATAAATTAATAAAGTTAATTAAAAGATTTATTTATGCGTATAAGAACTGGGGGACAGGCTAGAAGTGCAGGGGGTGAGAGATTTCACCAGAGACAGAGTGGGGAGCAGAACAGGTAGATCTACTGGAATACACTGCTGAGGGGAACAGTGGGCAGGTCAGGAGAGGTCTGCCACGCCTTTTGGATCATCTTCCTGGCCAGGGATCAAACTTGTGCTGAAGCGGCTGAATGCTGCACTTTAACCTCTTGAAACACCAGGGAGGGCCTCTATTTTTTATTTATGCTATTTTAAATAGCATAACAATTTAAGTTATACTTCATGATTACTTTCAAGTTGTCAGGCGCTGACTTGGTTATACCAGATCAGATTTCACTTGTAGTATTTGTTCCTTCTTGCTCCTTTACAATGGTTGGCATTACTAATTTGGTGTGCATGATAGGATTACCTAACTGCGATCTTATGATTTTCATTTTCCTGAGTGATTAATGAACCATTTCATGTTTATCGGTTATTTGGATATCTTCTTTTGTGATATTCCTATTCATCTTTTGTTCACTTTTTGTTTGTGCTTATTGATTTGTAGATATTCCATTTTTTAAAAAGATTTATTTATGCATACAAAAATTGGGGTACAGGCCAGAGGTGCGGTGGGGGTAAGAGGACCTACCAGAGGCAGAGTGGGGAACAGAACAGGTGAATTGATTGAACTCCACTGTTGAGAGGAGCAGCGGGGGAGACAGTAGAAGGCTGCTGCTCCATGTGGGTCAGCTCCCTGGTCAGGAATCAGACTCAGGTGCAGTAGCTTTGCATAGCTTCATAGTGCTTTAGTCCTTTGTGCCACCAGGGAGGCCTGGTATTCTGTATCTTTAGGGTAGATATCTTCTGGATATCTATATGTCTTGAAAATATCTTCTCAGATTCTTTACATGTCTTCTTACTCTTTTTTGGTTTCTCGTTAATTATAAGCTTTTACTATTAAATTAGCAGAATTTTAATTAATATTTTTCTTTATGGTTAATGCTTTTTATGGTCCTGTTTAAGAAATTTTTCTCTTATGGAGATAATTTTTTTATTTAATTATTACAAAAGTTTATTTTTACATCATTTTGCACATTTTTTTTTCCATCTCGATTGTAATCCCCATGGGTTTCCCATCACCAAACATCATCAAATCACCCGTGTGCCACCACCATAGTCCCGTGCATTTCCCTCCCTTCTCCCCCCTCCCCCCGTTTTTGATCCCATTCCCCACTCCACCCCCACAAAATGTCTCTGGTATATGGTTGTTCATTATTTTTGTTATTTTCTCGCCTGGTCCGTTATACTCCTGCTATGAGTGAAACCATCCGGTATTTTTCTTTCTCTTTCTGGCTTATCTCACTAAGCATGATCTTTTCCAGCTCCATCTAAGTTGCTGCAAAAGACATGTGTTTCTCTTTTTTGGTTGCTGAGTAATATTCCATTGTGTATATGTACCACATCTTTTTTATCCAATCATCTACTTTTGGGCATGTGGGCTGCTTCCATGTTTTTCCAATTGTAAATAAAGCAGCAATAAACATGGAGGTGCAGGTGTCATTTTGAATCAGTGTTTTTGTGTCTTTTGGGTAGGTACCTAGGAGTGGGATTGCTGGGTCGTAGGGAAGCTCCATGTTTAGCAGTTTGAGGAACCATGGAGATAATTTTTTTAATCTTCTAAAGTTTGTAGATTTGCCTTTCATACTATCAGTAGCCCATCTAGTTATTCTTTTGTGTTTTGTTTTTGTTTTGTATAGTGTAAGGTGAGGGTTAGTTGATTCTGCCCCCTTTTCCCATCCATATGATACTCAGCTGTCATAGATTTTGGAAAAAACTACTCCTTTGTGGTATGTCCATGGTCTGCTTATGTGTGGATCTACTTCTTTTCTGTTATACTTGTTTGTCTCTTCCAGACACAGAAAAATCCATATAAATGGAAATCACATACTATGTTGATAGGAATAGGTAAATAAATAATTAAATTGTTAGCATAACATAGACTTCAACCAGTTAAAAACAGAGATTCTTAAAAATCTAGGTATATGGTATTTGAAAGAGACCTACTTAAAACGTAACAAGTTGAGAAATGAGAAGAAGGATTACCAGGCAAATTCTAAGAACCTTGTATTTATGTCAGAAGGAATGGTGTTTGAAATCTACTACGTATTTTTGCTGCATCTGAGGCCATTCTACTTTTGTCCCTTAGTGGTTGTTAAAACTCAAACCCCTGAATTACCAAAATTTACCTCCTAGAGCAGCCATGTTCTTTATTTCTGTCCTTAAGCATTCATTCTCTTTATTCTGTTGTGGGGTGAGCCATGCATTTAAAAGGAATTTGCCGTGTTTCAACTAGCCCTTTTAAGGCATTTGTGTCATGTCTACTCTTACCCACCCCCCCCTCAGTTGTTTAGTATACTTACTATGTATTGTTTGAGCCATTATGGTTTTAGGAACCCATCCACCTAGGGGGAATCACTAACAATGTAGAATGATTGATTACCTGTGGACATGGGAGTTGTGGATCATTTCTTATATACTGTGCATTTTTAACATTATTAAAATTTTTCACTTAATAATATTAAATATCTGCAAAAGAGCACATATATATATATATTTTAATTTAAAAAAGAAAATTGTCCTTAAGATCCTCCAAGTAATAGTCCTTCTTTTCCATTTGTTGCAGGTGGTGCGGTTGTGTCAGAACCCAAAGCTGGCGCTAAAGAATAGCCCACCTTATATCTTAGACCTGCTGCCAGATACCTACCAGCATCTCCGTACTATCTTGTCAAGATATGAGGGGAAGATGGAGACACTTGGAGAAAATGAGTATTTTAGGGTGTTCATGGAAAATTTGATGAAGAAAACTAAGCAGACCATAAGCCTCTTCAAGGAAGGGAAAGAAAGAATGTATGAGGAAAATTCTCAGCCTAGGTAATGGAGAATACTACACACATATTTATTCAGGCCTGCATGGGTAACGCATTGAATTAGTTGAGTTGGTTTTAATTTTATGTCAACAAGAATGTGAAATTCACATTTGATTTAAAGGTATGTTTTATATAAAAGGTTGCCTTGGAGGATTTTGAACCATTCTAACTTTTGATAGATTGTTTATCTCTGAAAAATCAGCGACTTAACAATTATGAGGTTGAATTGGAGGCAATAAATAGGTCCTTTAAAGACCCTGAAGCTTTTTGAAAGTTTGTGGATAGATGAGTTGGAAAGAGGTCAGATTTTGTCAGGTAAATTGTAAATATGGGGATGATAGGGCAAAGGCTAAGCCAATGATTTAGATAACTTTTTTAATTAAAAAAAAGTGAAATGACATTTCTTTATAGGTAAAGTGCCTTTTGAGATAGACGAGGTAGGTACTCACAAATGTAGCAATTCATTAAGTATTTGAGGGGCTTTATATTTTCTTTCGTGCTTTTTAAATATTAAAAACTCTGTTGATTGCATATTGTTTGGTTATTGTGGAGAGAGGTAGGTTGATTTTATGTGTGTGTAGTTGTATTTGAGTTTTTCCAGTTGAAAATAAATAACAGTTCACTTAGAACAAGAAAGAAAATGCAGATTTCACTGGAACTTTTTAGTTCATAACTTACTCTCAAGGAGTGACTTGAATTAGGAGGGACAATAATTTTTGAGTTTGTTATTAGCCTGCATAACTCTAGCAGTAATTTACTGAGTGGTATCCTAGTAATCTCTATTCCTTTGACTCTGTTGGCTCAGAATCTGGGGAACCTCATCTCTGAAAATGTTATCCACATCATTTTTCATATTTACTATAGCATATATTACTCAGGTTTGGTCCAGAATTTCAGTCTTTTTCTTAAAAAGATTACTGGTGAAACCTTTGTAGCTACTGATACATGTAACGTGTTTAACTTTTAATTCATATGAAAGTGTTTTACTCTTTTAAATATTTAAAATTCATTATTTTTGTTAACATAAAATGTGGACTGTATGGAGCCTAGCTATCTAGTTATTTATATTGCTCGCTAAATTGTAATTTTCTTTTAAAGATTTTATTTATGCATACAGAAATGGGGTACAGGCCTGAGGTAAAGGGTCGGTGTGAGGATTCACCAGAGACAGAGTGGGGAGCAGAACAGGCAGATTGATGAAGTACACTGCTGAGGGGAGCAGCGGGCGAGGCAAGAGAGGTCGGCCACACCATGTAGATCACCTCCAGGGCCAGGGATTGAACTCACACTGAAGGGGCCATGGCTTGGCTTAGTTTCACAGTGCAGTGCTCCAACCCCCTGCGCCACTAGGGAGAGTCTGCTTGCTGAGTTATTAACAAAATATTTTATTAGGTACCAGAACATTAAAATCACTTACCACCTTATAATTAAATAGGTTCTGGATAATTCTAGGAAGTAAAAAGATTAAATCATTCAGTTCTGAAGTAATGGAATAAACATTTTAATAGAGATATTCACGAAATGTTGGGTGAACAGAGTTTTACTTAGTGACATCAGGAGAGGTGGCACAGGAAGTGCTATTTGAGCTAGATTTTGAAGGGCAAGTAGAAAATTTCTAGACAGAAAAGGCCTTTAACACCGTGACATGAAAATGAAGGCTCTGTATATTTAAGGCACTTGAAGAATCAGTTGGGCTAGAATTGGGAGATGTAGTTAAGCTGGAAATAATAGGTTGGAGTCATATTGTAGAGAGCTGTTCTTTGACCTCTAGACTGTCTCCCATAGATAATAGGCAGCCATAGATAAGTTTTTTTTTTTTAAGTAATTTTTAAAAAATAACATAATAGTTTATTTTTATATCATTTTGTTCCCTTTTCTATCTCAGTTGTAATCCCCATGGGCTTCCCATCACCAAATCATTTGTGTGCCATCACCATAGTCCAGTGCACTTCCCTCCCCACCACCATTTTTGATCCCACCCCCCACTCCACCCCCGTAAAAAGTCTCTGGTATATAGTTGTTCATTATTATTATTATTTTCTCCCCTGGTCCTTTATACTCCTGCTATGAGTGACACCATCTGGTATTTTTCCTTTTCTTTCTGGCTTATTTCACTAAGCATGATCCCTTCCAGTTCCATCCTTGTTGCTGCAAAAGGCATGTGTTTATCTTTTTTGATTGCTGAGTAATATTCCAATGTATATATACACCACATCTTTTTCATCCAGTCATCCACTTTTGGGCATTTGGGCTGTTTCCATGTCTTTCCAATTGTAAATAAATCAGCAATAAATAAACATGGAGGTGCAGGTGTCATTTTGAATCAGTGTTTTTGTGTCTTTTGGGTAGGTACCTAGGAGTGGGATTGCTGGGTCATATGGAAGCTCCATTTTTAGCAGTGTGAGAAACCTCCACAAACAGTTTACCATAGTGGTTGTACTAGTTTGCAGTCCCACCAGCAGTGCAGGAGAGTTCCAAAAAAGGTAATTTTTATGGCACAATAAACACTAGATTTTCTGGTCTTAGCACTTGCTGGGCATTAATTTTTTTTGTGTTAGTTCATCACCAGTGGCTCTATAGCATACTGATTAAGAGTATGCACTTTGAAGTCAACTGCCCAGGTTTGAATCTTTTTTTTTTTTTAAAGATTTATTTATTTATTCATACAGAACTGGGGTACAAGCCAGAGATGCGGAGGGTGAGAGGATTCACCAGGGACAGAGTAGTAGGGAGCAGAACAGGCAGATCTACAAAGTACACTGCTGAGGGGAGCAGTGGGCGGGTGAGGAGAGGTCTGCCACTCCATGTGGATCTCCTCCGGGGCAGGCGGGGATCGTACTCATGCGGAAGTGGCTTAGGTTTCTTAGTGTAGTGCTTTAACCCGCTGCGCCACTAGGGAGGGCCCCCAAGTTTGAATCTTAACTTTGCCATTTATTTAGTTTCCCCATCTATAAAATGTAATAATAGTAGTATTTTATTTGTAGGGTTTTGGGAATTATTAAGTGAGTTAATTTTCAGTACTTTGAACAGTGACTGATCAAAAAGATTGAGTGGGTTAGCTCTTTTTATCTTAAACCATTATTTTCATTACTGTAAACATAGATTATTGTGTCAGATTGTATATCAGATATATTTTCAGGACCATTTTGCCTTACAGATAGCTTTATACTATGCTTATAGATTCTCTTGCCTTTATTTTCTTAATTATTTTTCCATTTTTTCTTCTCTTGCCTATTGTCAGCATGTCTGTCTGTATCAATTTTATTCCTCCTAACACGAAACTTTTAATCCACTATGGACTTTGAGTCCATACAGCAACTTTGTACAAATTATATGTAAAATGAGAATGAATAAACTAAAGGTGCGAATCGGGTTTTTTCTAATAAAGGCAACATGGCTTTACTGTATGATCTTTGTGATCTGTATTTTTGTTGTTAGGTACTTTTTGTCCTATTCAGTATTTAAATAAACTAGAGATAATTCACATGCCATAAAATTCAATGGATTTTAGTGTGTTTACAGAGTCTGCAGTCATCCCCACTGTCTAACCTTGAAACGTTTCCATCAGCCCAAAAAGAAATGCTGTACTCATTAGCGGTCACTCGGCACTCCTGCCCTGCAAGCCTGGGCCGTCTCTAATAAGTGCTTTCTTTCCCTTTGATTTTCCTGTTCTAGACATTTCATGTAACGTGGCCTTTTATGACTGACTTATTTTATTTAGAATGTTTTCACAATTCATTCATGTTATAACATGGATCAGTACTTCATTTATTTTTATGGCTGATTGATACTAAGTTGTATAAATATGCTACATTTTTATTTTGGACATTGGAGTTTTTTCTACTTTGACTTATGAATAATGCTGCTATGAACATTTGGGCACAAGTTTTTGTGTGGCTAGATGTTTTCAGTTCTTCTGGTTTTATACCTAGGAGCAGAATTGCTGAGTCATCTGGTTATTCTATGTTCACTTTTTGAGGAACCACTAAACTACTTTATATAGCAGCTGCACCATTTTACATTCCTCTACCAACATATGATGGTTCTAATTGCTCAACAACTCCTGTTTTTTGATTATAATCATCCTCCTGGGTATGAAGTAGATAGCTCATTGTGGTTTGGATTTTCATTTCCCTAATGAGTAATAACGTGAGCATATTTTCATGTGTTTATTGGTTGTTTGTGTATCTTATTTGAGAATGTATATTCAAATCCTGTTCCATTTTGAACTGGGTTATTTTTTGTTGCGTTAGAAGAATTCTTTACATATTCTTGATACCTCTAGATGCTTATCATATACTAGTTTACAAAGCTTTACTCCCATTCTGTGGGTCCTCTTTGTTTTCTTGAGAATGTAAGTTGAAATACCAAAGGTTTTTTTTTTACTCTGTGAAGTCCGATATTTTTTTCTTTGGTTAACTTGTGCTTTTGTTGTTTGGTTTTGTTACTTGGGTATTTATTTTAAAAGATTTATTTATGCATGGGGTATAGGCCAGGGGCACAGGAGCGGTGAGAAGACTCACCAGAGACCAGGTGGGGATCAGAACAGGCATTGATGAAGTACACTACTTGAGGGGAGCAGCGGGTGAGACAGGCGAGGTCTGCTGAGCCATGTGGATCACCTCCATGCCTGGGGACTGAACTTATCCTGAAGTGGCTGCAGCCAGCTTCCTAGTGCTGCACTTTAACCCACTGGGGTCACCGGGGAGGGCCCTGGTCTATATGTTTTATCTTTATGCCAGTGGTAAGTATGGTAATTTTGTAAACTGCAGTAATCAGAGTAAAACTTTTTTTGAAGCCAGAAAGTCTGAGTCCTCCGACTTTTCTTTTTTTCCTTTCTTTTTTAAAAAGTAATTTTCTGCTTTTTCAAGATTGTTTTGGCTGCGTTTTGAAAGACCTCTTGACATTCTTTATGCATTTTAGGATCAGCTTGTCAATTTCTGCAAAAAGAAAAGCTGGTGTTTTAATAGAATTATATTGGACCTGTTGACCAATTGGGGGAGT